CTGTAGGAGAAACACAACAGCCACATTAAACCAAACAAGGAGGTTAGAAATAAAACAAGATCATCATGAAACAAAAAGAGGGAGTGTGACTCAGGCCGAGGTCTGAAGGCAACCTGACTAAGAAGTTCAACACGGGAAAACAATTGTTTTCCAATTATTGTGGGGTTAAATGGTTTAAAAAACACGAGGCACATGTTTGATTGATCAAAACAGAAATATGTTTGCATGACAAAAATTGTATTTGTTTTTATTTGATAATGATTTATTCTTGCAGATCTAACAGTTAAACATTAATTACACACGTATTTCTCTCCAAACTAAAACTTGTGTTTGTTTAGTGTCACACAGTTAGGTCAACATTAGCAACTGTTTGTCCTCAGTGTAGATGAATTAGCTGAATTTATGTTTGAATGACAACAGTGGATTTTTTGTTTTCATTCAACAGCTTCATTCTCCTGTCTGCTCTGTGAAGTGTCTTTAAACCCGCAGGTAAAAAGAAAAACATTCACCATGGGAAATGAGTCCAACTGACTTAAAATAAATATAATTAGTTAAATGCATATTTTCAGCTTAAAAAAAACAAAAGGACACCAGGTTCTGCCTGTACAACTTGAGATATTTAAAACTGATTTTTCTTCATAATGAAAACAATAACACTGAAATACCCAACTGTACCACTAGGTGAGGACAGGGCAGTGCTTAAACTAATAACATAATAAAATACAGAAGAAGAACATTCTTAGTTACGTTTCACGTAGGATCAAAGTTTAACAGCAACAGAAAGAAGAAGTGAGTCAGAAGGAAATGTTTTTTAGTGCTTGAAGCAACAACAGGATATGTGCAATAAATGAATAAATAAATGAAATGGGTTGATAAAAACCCTGATAAAAACCTTCCATTAGTTTTTTTTTCATTATAGGCTTGGGGTGAGTTAAGTGCCCACCCCTTAATCAGAAGGTTGCAGGTTCGAGTCCCGCTCAGTCTGACGTTGTCGCTGTGTCCTTGGGCAAGACACTTAACCCACCATGCCTGCTGGTGGTGGTCAGAGGGACTGGTGGCGCCTGTGTATGTCAGTGTGCCCCAGTGCAGCTGTGGCAACAGTGTAGCTCATCACCACCAGCATGTGAATGGGTGAATGACTGATTGTGTTGTGAAGTGCCTTGGGGGGTTTCAGAACTCTAGAAGGCACTATATCAAATACAGGCCATTGATCATTTACCATTTAAGTAGCTTAATATCAAAGCCATTGCTCCCAACAATCAAAAACACTGACTCAGGCATGCTCCATGAACAACCCCTCGCCTCTCGAACCTAAACAGAGAGCACATGGGCTAAACATGTCGCAGGTGGAGGAAATTGTCCCGAAAAATGGTTACAGTAGTTCACCAGCATGGCTTGCTCCAGAAAAGGCTTCAGCCTCAGCCTCATGTTAAAAGTGTTACAGCCTAAAAGATGGAGGGTAGCAACCATGGATTTCTGGCTAAAAGCTTTGGGTTTCCAGTGTGTTCAGATGCACACTTCTTAACCCTGTCCATCCATCCATCCATCCATCCATCCATCCATCCATCCATCCATCATCTATTGAACGAATGATCAATCGATTGGCTACTGTCCGTCTAGTTTTCTAGGTTAAGTTTTATGTATCTATCTATCGATTGTGGGCAGAATCTGTGGTTGTCTTTCAAACTGTCTCCACGTGCTATTGGACAACAAACAATGTGACAAACTCACCACCACAAATGTGAGTCAGTAGGGCAGTCAGACATACACTGTCGATTATTGTACTAAATAAAGGACTTAGGTACCTCTATCTGCTCTCGACTAAAAGAAAAACCCAAGTGTAAATATTCCAGAGTTTATGCCAACGCCGTTTCAAACAAGCCGCTGCCATTTTATTTGTTTCGCTTTGTCGCATCATCCTGCCCACCAAACCGATTGAGCACTGTGATTGTCAAAGCACCAGGCTGGTCGGGCCTGCTGAGGTTCCAATGGGGCAGGGCTACACTTTTAGCTTTGGCTACTGTCTGTCTAGATTTCTAGGCTAATTTTTATCTTCAGCATTTCAAGAGCAGAGCCTCTCTAGATACAAATCACAAGGTGCTTTACCAGCACTTAAAAAAAAAAGATTTTAAGATAATAAAAATTAGGGGAAGAAAGGAAAACAAATAGCAAGAAATGTTTTGGTGCTATAATGTCATTTCCTTTTATGTTAGTGTGTATTACTATATGTGTCAATAATGTAAAGAAAATTGTGGAGTGAACTGAAATCGCAATGTCTTCTAGAAAAATTATCACAATTCAATATTTTCTTGAATTGTTCAGCCCTTGTAAAAAACAGTTGTTTAAATAAAGTTTTGATTTTTAGTTCAGTTTTTATGTGTTCTTTATTGCGAGTAGTTTGTTAAGGAATAACAAAAAATGGCCAGGGATACCTTGGAACATATTTCCTAAATTTTCAATTATTATCATTATCAATTAATAATTGGATGGAAAATAATGTTGATGCTTTGATTTTAGGTGAGCTCAGCTGGAAACAATGTAGATTTTATTTTGAAGGGTTCTTTCAAATGCATTCTGCTTTTGTTTGTAGAGATGATCCCTGGTAAAGTCAGGCATACAGTAGCATCGGCTGTGGTTGCAGAGACCAACAAGCTTGATTTTAATTGAATTACAGACAGAAGGATGACATCATGTGCAGATTTATTACAGCAGAATAAGGCGATGTGCTGCTCGTTTATCTGTGGTATCAGAGAGGAGAAGTCTTGATTTCCTGGCTGGTAAAGAGCTTTTCTCTATCTGGCCAGGAAAATAACGTCACATTTTCCTTCCTCACCTAACCTCTTGTCTGCTGAGTGAGCCCATAAATCACAGAATTCCTGCTCAAGGAAATGAGGAATTTAATGAACTAATTTAGATGAATATACAACACACTTTATCTTTGCCTTGTAGAAATCTTTTGTATGTAGTTTGATTTCTTTTTGTTGACAGATGCATCTAAAGAAACATGATGTTTAAATTTCTCTTCCCTTATTCTTATCAACCCAACACCTGTTACACATTTGCTCTCGGACTCGGGACGCAGTGTAGGTGTTTGGAAAAAATGTGTTTGGCCGACATGAACAAAGGAGGGTAGGAGTTTGGATGGGTATCACGTAGTAATGAAAGCATGAATCACAAGTCCTGACATCGGTCTTCCCACTAAAGGTGTAAGTGAGGAGACAGAAACTGTTGTTGTGAATTTTCCTGACAGAACAGAGGGGCAGGTTTTAAGATGGGACTGGACTGTTGTATCAATACTGCCTTTATAGACAAAAAATGGTTTTTACTGGCTATTTTTCATATATCATCAGTCACTTGTGAGAAAAGATCTTCTAACCTTATTCCTCGCATTAGCCGATAGAAGATAGATGGGGAAACATTCAGATTAGAAAAGCCGGTCCATTACACGCCACATTGAAAATGGACTCACCCATTTAGGCTCACGAAGGCTGTTGTTGGTTTAGCATTCAGCCAAGAGCAGAGCGCGTCTTGGCTAGTAGAAGCTAACCATTAGCATGAGCAACTATACATCATGGCAGAATTCCTCCAGACAGTTATTTGTGGAGATCAAACATCAACGTTGCAGAGCAAACTGAATCAGTGGTAGAGTTACTGTTAGCCAATCACAGGTGAGATGTCAGAACATGAGAAAATATGACTCTAAACCCCGCTGTCTTCTGCTCATCTCTGCTCTGAGTTACTTTTCAGTTCCTGAAACAGGAGCACCAGAGCTTTTCCCCCCACAGAGATCGACTCACAATTTATTTATCTCTACTAGAGACCTCTGCAGATGTATTGAAAACACAAGTGAAGTTGGTCTTTAAAAATCACACGTTCCTACACGTAAATGCAATTTCACTCATCCACAGTACAGAAATTATGGACTTTTTCACTCATGTGTTCATAATTTCCTTCCTTGTATCACGTCAAACCTCTCAGTGTTTAGTGTGCATGTGGAATGTGTCTGTTAGTTGTGAAACTGTGTGTGTATTTGAACAAATATAAACATGTAAAAATGCTTATTAGCCAGCCGTTAAACCAATATTAAGGCCTATATATATAAATTAATTCAGAACTAATTCCCATTCCTACAAATTCAATATGCATTTAGAAATCTGTTGTCTGGTTACAGATTTCATCTCCAAACCCATCTAGCCCGATTCCCCTTGTTCCTACTCAGGGATGTGCACGGGAACCTAAAAGGGGTTTTGGGATTGAGCCAAAACTCCTTATTTTCTGTTGTGAGAACACGTCTAACTCAGCCGGGAAACCTTGGCCCGACCTAGCTCTGCTGTTACGGTACTTGCTCCTAACACAAATGATCTACCCAACAGCTGGAAGACACAAGTGCAGCCGGGCTCTCCGTGTTTGTTGGACCACGTTGTGGAAAATAACGGCTATTTATCAGCGCAAGGAAAAGTAGTTGAAGTCAGAGAAAGAGGATACATGACACATTTGACCTGAGCCTTGTGTGTAGGAATTGGATGATTTACCAAATTACGTGAAATTGTGGGGGTCATTAGGATCATCAGTGAGAGGGCTCCGTGACGGTTCAGATGCAGCTGTAGCTGAAGAGAGTTTAACAGCTCAGCCATAACAAGGCGGGGAAAGGGGGGGTCAGCCGAGGGCTGCTTGGCAGTCTAAACAACGTCCTGGAGTCTGACGGGTCACGGTCAGACGACACCTCTTCTCTCCCCCACGGACGCACCTCGAACTTCCCCAGAGGGTGATTTGTCCAACACCAACACGATTATCTGATGATGTTTGTTTTAGATCCGATGTGAAGATATCACCGAGCTGAAACAACATTATTGCTTCATTAAAGAGAGAGCAGCTCCTCTCCCTCTTCTTGATGTGGGGACAGAAGACATTTTCTCCACAGCATCTTATCAGATCACAAGTTTAGACGGTTGAATCTCGTTTTCCAAAATTCAGTCCAGCCGATTCTTTACCTAGAACTG